AAGAAGAAAGGGCTGCTGGTGGTGAACTGAATGGGGTTCAGAATACACAGACTAGCTCAGGGTGTTTCAATGATGCTCCCCACACCTTGGCTGCAGCAGCTTCTGAGCTAAGCAGTGTGGTCTATACTCTTTACCTACTGGGATGAATCCATTTCAGTCCTGAACTATCTGAACTCTGGAATCGTCTCTTGTCTAAGGCTAGCAGGAGGGGAGGACAAACAGGGTTCAGGATACCTCTGAGGAAAAATGAGTCAGGATTCTCAAGCCTGTAGGAAAGTTTACTGTGAGCTTCTCTGCTGGTGATAATTAGGTTGAGAAATGTTTACATGTGTAGCAGACTTTGGTGTAAGACTAATTTGCATTCTAGTGTGATAATATGACCGGCTTGTTAAAGAGCGTATCTACAGCTCTCACCCACTTCACAATCCTAGGGAAGGCTAAATGGAACAAGGCTCTCCTAGAATGATGATACACCACAGCTTGGACCTAGAGCTGAAAGATAACCTGCAATGTATTAGGCCAAAGACACACAGACATATAGATAACAGACAGACAGACAGACAGACACACACACACACACCCTCTCCTTCCCCTCTCTCTTCCTCTCCCCAACTCTTGTGTATATGTATGTGAGGAGAGGGGCTTGAACCCAGGTCCTTGTGCATGTTAACCAAGAGTTCTACTATTGGGCCACATCCCTACCCCTCCATAAAGGTGCCTCAAGTACTTTTAAAAATCGAAATGACCTGGGAGGATGTCTACTTTCTAAGGGCAGAGGCACAAGGCAAGGACAAGGTAGACACGCTTTTCCTAGTCTCCCTAAACACTGATGTCTTAGTCAGGGTTTCTATTCCTGCACAAACATTATGACCAAGAAACAAGTTGGGGAGAAAAGGGTTTATTCAGCTTACACCTCCATGTTGCTGTTCATCACCAAAGGAAGTCAGAACTGGAACTCAAGCAGGTCAGGAAGCAGGAGCTGTGCAGAGGTCATGGAGGGATGCTACTTACTGGCTTTGCTTCCCCTGTCTTGTTCAGCTTGCTTTCTTATAGAACCCAACACTACCAGCCCATGGATGGCACCACCCACAATGGGTTCTCTCCTTCTTGATCACTAATTGAGAAAATGCCTTACAGCTGGATCTCAAAGAGACATTTCCACAACTGAAGCTCCTTTCTCTGTGATAACTCCAGCTTGGGTCAAGTTGACACACAAAACCAGCCAATACAACTGCTTAATATTACATATCAAACAAACACAAGATGACTCTGAAAGGTAGAAAAAAATCCATCTAGGGACCCTGGATCTCAAGAAATTGCACAGTGGAGTGCTTGCCAGTTTCTCAAGCCTCATATTCAAGACTAGATGTTGGAGAAACCAGCAGGTCAAAAGTGAGGCAGACAGAAGGACCAAGCTTCCATAAAGGTATTAGCTGAATCCTCCGTAAGTACCTCAAAGTACTGTTAGGAGTGTTAGTGTCTCTGTAAGTACTCAGAAGTGTTTCATTTTTTCTTCCAAATATACTAAGCTGGTTAGGGCAATACTGTCAGAGTTTGCCTTGAGCCTGAGACTTCCAGTGAAGCAGTCACTTATGGACACCCAACCAGACCAGCATCATGGCAACCCTACTTCTTGGAACATTCCAGCTAGAAAGAGCTGCAACCACAATGGAGGCTGAAGCTACAAGTCTTCAAGTGGCCTTGTTCAAGTTGTGACCAATCAAAATTACAGCTGCTTAGTAAAGACTTGGCTTCAGCCACGGCAAGCCTCAGGGAACCCTACCCAAGCTGCAGCCATTCTCACTCAGGCCTGTGATTGGTGGAGCCAGAAACCATTTTTCAACAAAGCTGTGCCTGGTAACGATGCCAGTAGACTCATATACAGGCTAAAGGCAACTCCTAATAAGAAAAAAAAATCCCCCAAATATTTATACAGACAAAATTATTATTGCAGCTTTATTATGTAAAACTTATGTGAAAATAGAAAAGAAATGAAGTAACATAATAATTTGGAAAACCATCAAGCAAGAAGGATCAACCCAATCCACCTCAAACTTATTAACAGCTACAATCATATAATCCTAGGCTAGTCAGTCAGCCAAGAATTATGCTGAACGGAAAAAAAAAAAAAGAACCTTGAAAGTCCTCAGCAATAAGATTTGAGTATACAATTCTTCAAGTGACATCTCCTAAACATCAAAGTTTAGGAGAAAGTATCTGTGGCTAGGAGGAACTATGGAAGGGTGAGCCATGGGGGGAAACAGGACTGCTCTAAAGGCAGCAAGAGAAACCACAGCAACGTCAGCAGTTAGCTGCCATCAGCTGAGATGTCACAGAATGGTTTGGGAAGATATTATTGATGGGGAGACTGGGTAAAGGGTAATATGGAATTTTTCTGTATTATTTCTTGTGAGTGAATGTAAATTCACAGTTATTTTCAATTACATTTTAAATTAAAATAAAAAGGGCACTCCATTTGTAAACTGGGGGATAATATAGGTAATAAAATATTTAAGGGCTGTAATAATCTATAAATCACTAAAGAGAGATCTACACAGTCATGCTTTTGATAGATATATAGATCAAAAATACAGACACAGGGGGAAAGGAGAAGATGGCCGCTTACAGAAGGAAGCAGGCTCCAGGCCTCTCATGTGGAGGGTGTGCCGAATTAAGACATAACCGTTTGGCCACCATGAGTGTCATCTATACTGGATCATACAAGAATCATAGTTGGCCACTAAGCTGTGCACGGAGATCTCGTAAACAACAGTGACTGTAATCTGAAAGTCAGTCCCCATAGACTTCTTATTTCATGACAATGAAACAACTGTAACTGTACAAGGAGTAGGGGAACTCAGATGATCCCTGGAAGACATGACGTCAATATCATCGAAGAAGAGATAACCGGCCTGAGACAGGACACATCCGACTAACCCAACAGAGACAATATTTCAGGTTTTAAAAAGGGGAGGTGAAATGGGAATTTCTGGTTTCGTTGGAGACTCAGTTGTGTCATGTGATCTTTTTCTGGAAACTGTCTTATGGGAGGATGTTTTGGTGAAGCAGACACGAGAAAGGCTGCTTTGCTGAGAACAGACATGTGTTTTTCTGGAAGCTGTCTGGTAAAAGGGCTTGTGATGTTTTCCTAGAGTAGACACTTGAGAGCAGGTGATGTTAACAACAGGATTGTTAGTTAACCTGTTACAAGTATAACCCAGCAGACAGTGGAGGACACTCTGGCATTGGGTCCCTTTGCCAATCTTTGTTAGGCTTGCTTTCTTTGCCGATCTTCACTTGTCATGACTCTGTAAAGAGAAATGCACCAAAGAACTTCTGGTGATATTCCAGTAGCTTCTTTCGGCTTCTTTGGACTCATGGCAATCGGCAAAGCCTCAAGGTTTCTCCTGGAGCAAGCCACTGCTACTGATTCATGGACTGGACTGCCACTGCAGATTTGTGCTAACAGACTGGACTGCTGTCGATGAAGATAAAGAACTATTTCTAAACAGTTCACTCCCCCTTGATCTATTCGCCATCTTCCTCCCGTAGCTTTGGTTGGCGGACTATAAGTGTTTAAGATCCCTTACTAAAGTAGGTTTTGTAAAATTTAAGTCTACAAGGATGAGTGTGGGCTGTCTAGAAACAAGAGTCACAAAAACAAGGAAGGTGAAAGGTCACAAGGCCCTGAGCAACTAAGGACAACTAATCATAACAGAGAATCCTGGATTAGATCTGACATATTTAGAAGAGAAAACAACCTTGTTGTGGGAGGCATTAATCACGTGACACAACCAGATGTGGATGGAACACGAATTCTAGCTAGGTGTCTATCTGTAAGTTGGTAACTGAGGTGTAGTTGATAATCCTCTCTTTTAAACTGATCGTCATAATTCTCCTCTTTGTGAGAGAATGTCACTGTGCTCAGGAAATACTGGACTACTTAGTATGAAAACACTGATATGTACAACTTTAAAATGGCTGAAAACCATGGACAGCAACAGTGCTGCAGAAGCAACAGATGAAACCATGGGATGTAAGGGCTGGCCTTTTTGTATCTATCCCCATTGTTAGCTTCCATCACTCCTTCCTTCCCCCCCACGAAACCGATGAAGACAGAACTTAGGGCCTCGTATGTGAAAGGCAAACATATGACCTCTGAGCTCTATTCTCAGCTTTCTCAGTTTGAAATTATTCACAAAGAAGGGCAAAAAATATTAGGCTACTGTCGCCAATCAAATAGAACCTCAGAGATATGCACCCTAGTCTGGGGTCCAGTCTTCCTTGGAATCAGAATGAAGAGCACGGGCTTCCAAGTTAAGACAAATCCAGGTTCAAATACCAACACTGTCACTATGAGCTAAGCTTGACCTCGGAGTCTCAGTTTCTCCATCAGTTGAATGAAAAAAACAGCCAACCCCCACTCCAGAATACAGCCTACCCAGACTCCAGAAAGCAATCTACCCCTACTCCAGAAAACAGCCTATCCCCATCCCAGAAAATTACTCTGAGCGAATGAGACAAACCTATAAAATATCACAATGCTTGGTCTAGGGCAAACAGTCAGTGGTGCTATTTGTCTCATTAACAGGCTAGTGGTGGGCGGTGGTTACTGCTGTTGTCGCTGGGCCGCAGACATACAAAGACGATCAAAGCATGATTTCTTAATGGTGCTCTCAGTAGATGGTTCTCAGCTGCTTCATCTCTGGTTGCCTCTGCAGCACCAGAGTCTCTTGGTCAGCAGCAGGTCCCACAGAGCAGGGTTTCCTGCTTACACTGGGGAAACCATCTGTACTTTATCCTGTGCAAAGTGTCTTGTGTCTCTATAGAGCATGGGGCTAAAACATAAACTCTGGGGGTTACAGATAGGCCACTTGCATGCTTTTGCTTTACTAGGCTAATATGGCTTTTAATTTACTTTGTAAAACACTCCACAGTCAACATAGGCCCTTTCAGAATTGATACCTTTTGCCCCCTGGCTAGTTTGGTGGCCTGCTTACCTCAGAGGCGATAGAGGTGAAGCTGCTGCTGAAATGCACGTGCTTATGGATCTCACTGCCATTGGCGGTCAGAAGCCAGTCCCCAAAGGCCTGGCCTTTGCCCACAGACTGGTTGCTGTGGCTCTGGTTGGGCAGGAGCTCCGCCATGTCCCAGTAGTATGCTGGTGTAGCTCCAATTAGTGCAATGAGAATGGCTTCTGTGGCCACATAAAGCTGGAAGTAAACACACAGAATCAAATGTTGCAGACAGGGGCATGCTCGTAGAAAAGTTGGGAAGCCTGCAAACCTTGAAAGATACAGTGATTGGATTAGGGGTGAAGCTCAGCTGGTCAAGTGCTGGCCTAGCACTGTATAAACCATGCATGCTGCCTTCCTTCCACAGTTCCAGCACTTAGGAAGTGGAGGCAGAAGGACTGGAAGACCAAGGTCATCCTCAGTTATACAGTGAGTTCAAGAAAGCTTGAAGTCTGCTAAACTTACTCAAGAAGACAAAGAAGAAAAGGACAAAGAAGAGAGGAGGTGGGAGTGGGGGTGGGGTGGGGGCACAGTGGGGCAAAGGGCTGGAGAGATGGCTCAGCAGTCAAGAGCCCTGGCTCTTCTTCCAGAGGACCAGGGGTCATTCCCAGCATCCACATGGCAGCTCACAATCATCTATAACTCCAGTGCCAGGGAATCCTATACCCATGGGCACCAGACATGCATGTAGTACACATATATACATGCAAACAAAAACATGAACACACATAAAGTAAAAATAAATAAGCAAAGAAGAAGAGGAGGAAGAGGACAAAAAAGAGGAGGAGGAAGAGGGAGAAGAGGAGGAGGAAAGGAGGCTGGGGACGGTGGCTGGTTCTTCCTTCTGTATTTTGTTTTGTTTTGTTTTGTTTGGGCTACAGTAATGGGCACATCAGAAGCCAGGAAGAAAGAAAAATGAAAAAGCATCTGTGCTATGAGAGGGCCATCCGTAGTGCACTCACGGAGCACCCTGCTTCCCTAGACAGTTTTCCTTCCATATCTGCAATGTGTCTGATGTTGTGGGCTTTGTGTGATATTGTCCAACACTGGCGTAAGGCCCACATTGCTGGCTCTGGCTTAAAAGATTGATATTCCAGTTATTTTCTTCTTAGCTCAGTGTTTTCAGCTCTAAAAATCTGTGACTGGGAGCCTGGAGGCTCTTGACTTGTAATTCATGATCTAAAGACATTGTTTTAAAACGTTGCATGCAACTCGTAAGATTTAAAAATGTTCAAAATGCCAGGCATATTCAGATTGCAAATTGTAGCTGTATTTAATCTTTGTCTACTCTAACCATAACTGTCCATTAATGATGAAAAATACAGCACCAATTCATATGCCATCTGCTGATTGCTCTAGATCTTGTGGCTTCTCGAAGTTGGGTTTATGGGGTGTTGAACCCTATCAGACTTTACTGATATGGACATCTGTTTGTGTTAGCTCTAATTGTTGGATGATTATTTCAGATTTAAAATTCACTAAGAAATTACATAATTAGTCTGCAGGTTAAGAAGATCTTTTTTCAAGGAAATAAGATCCCTGTTAACTTTAAACTTGGTCTTAAAAAACAGACTAAGTGTCTGAAAAATACAAAGCATGTGATTTCTGTCATTGCATGGCCATGAGTCCACTTGTCCTAGGGCTGACTACACACATGAAGACGGAGTCTGTCAGAAGATTTCTCTTCTGTCCACCAAGAACTTAAGTCGGGAGCTCTTTCCACACCGTTCTGAGGGGCACGTTTGGCTAAGCAGATAAATAGAAGAGCCAACAGCATAGCCATTTATCAGTGGCAGATGATGGAATTCGTTATGGAAAGAGAAAGAAGTCATGACATTTTGAGCATTGTATCAAAAGCGAATGCAAAGCCTGGGTTGTGATTTCTTCCCTCTTGGTAAGGCTGAGAGGGTACAAGGCTATCTCAATCTATTTTGAGTTTATAGACTGTGGACCTTCTGGGAGGAGGGCAAAGGTACCATGCTGCAAGATTCCTTATAAGGTGCAAAGGAAAATCTGTTCCTAGGCTTGGATACTTCTTGGACCTTATTTGCATGCTATTAAGGACATTTTAGAAGAGGAGGCAATCAGCTTATAAAAATAAAAACCTTAATAATCACAAGAACAAATAGATTACACATCTAGCAGTAGCTATAATTACGAAGCCACTTTCATCCACTTAGTAACTGCCCCTCTGATTACAATCTGCTGAAATTTAATTGATGGGTATAAAGAAATGAAAAACATGGGCCAAGGGAATGCAGGAGATGACTCAAAGCACAGCCTTTCATCAGGCAAAACAAACCAGCCACGTTCCCTCTTTAACTGTGCCCCCTTCTGCTTCTGTGCATTCTTCTCCTTTCCCTGGAGGCACCACCTCCTGTCAGCAACGTTAGAATGCTCTCATTCTCTGAAAGTCTGCTTCACTTACCTGCTTCCTTCCCAACTCAGCTTCCTCTCCAGTGGCCCAGAAGTTCTGCTCATGTATATTCGTTATGTCTGATTCATCTTTGGGCTTCTGAAGTAAATAACCCAGGGTCCTCACATTCAACAAGGGGATGAATAAATGGCCAGGAAGGACACCAGTAATAATAAGTAGTACATGTTTTTATAATGTTAGCTATGTGGCATTCCTAGTCTAGGTTTCTGTTGAATGTATGTTAGCACATGATGGTTTTATCTGGATTGTTCTAGGACAAGCAATATTCCAGATAAAAGAGGAAATGCTCTAAGGTGTCCTCTCTTTTGAGTTTTGACTCATTCTGATGGTCACACCATTCTTAGTATATACTACAATTTGGGGAAGCAGTTCAAAATGAATGGGTGGTGGAATCTAGTTAATCAGCATCATGAAGCAGTGTAAGAGAAGCACACGCTCTTCATCCTCCCTCCCTCCTCCCATCTCTCACAACGTCTCCTTGGCCCCTTTATGGACAAGCATTCGTGTGCATGATGTGAACACACATACACGTGTCCATCATTTTATGTTAACAGAGAGGCTAACATATGGAACTCTTCTGTGTGGTGCCAGCCCATGGTCATGCTTGTTTTTGTTACTCAACAGGGAGACACAGTAGGCAGGTAGCAGTCATGCTGTGTAATAAAATGTCACACGGGGCACCATGAGATTAGGTCAGAGAGGTGAGATTAGGTCAGAGAGGTGAGGTTCAAAGCCCACAAAATGTCCATCTTCCATCCCAGAGCACATTCTGGGGGTCCACGGTCATATGACATCAAAGATGACACATCCATCCATGAGATGTACCACCCACACAGAACACGAGGGCCTTTTTCCTTGGTTCACCATTTTTGACTGTAACACAGGTCACATCCTCCTCTGTCCCCTAGAGAACCGAAGTGATCTCTCATTCTTTACTACCGTTCTGCCGCTGCCACGTATACACTCACCCACATTTTTGTCTAATGAAATCACACCTATCAGCAGATGGACTTTAAAGCCACAATGAGAAACCACCATCTATTCTCCTTCTGTGTGGGACTAACAACACCTTAGATAAATCTTCTCTGGTTCTAGCTCTAGGGAAGAACAAGAGCCCCAGATGGCTGGATTCCCCTTCTACTCCCATCCCCACCCACCCTGGTGTAATTAAAATTACAAAAATGACTCCAGGGTATTGAAAATTTGCTTCTGAAAGTGAAGGTTTCTAAAGTAATTTTGTAGTAACACCATTATGGGCTTTCATAATGTGTCAGGGGAAACCATCACAACCGTGCACTGTGATGTCATGGTTATGCCAGATGTTTACTTTGTGAGTTGGAACAAGATACAGAGCAATTAAAATCCATTCAAGGTTTCCCGTAACAGCAAAACCAAGCTGAGAGTGGGGTCACCTAACTCTATGGACAGATCTTCTTCAGGGGAATGCAAAGAACAAAAATCAAAGTTGATTTCACTGCCAGCATTACTATTAGTTCTTTATGCACTTAGGACTCGGTTGCTTAACTGGTCAACCAGAAACACTGTGCAAGTAAGCCCTTAGTCCTGAAAGCGAGACCACATGCCGGGGTCTGGAGCAGAGGGCACTCTGTTATTGAGTGAGTGTCTTGCTGCTAGGGATGTATTGGAGGGGTTTTAAATGTGGGACTCACACATTCTAAACGGCAGGCGCCTCTTTTCTTCACTCGAATCCATCTACACTGTATCACCAGCTCAGTCTCCTGAAACTCCTCAACAAACGCTTCTGGTCAAAACATACTAATGGGTGCAGGAGTAGTTTCCTATAACCCAGTGGCTCGTTAGTCTGCACTCAAGCTTTCTGCACTGGCCTACTCACCGCCCAGGTGTGACTTACCACGCTCAGCTACACCTCTCTAAACCTCTTATCTTCTTGCAGTACAACTGGATGTTGATGTATGTCTCTGTTGACTGTACTCGCATCTAACTAGCCTCTCCAGAGGGTCCAGTGAAATATTTCTCTACTCAACAGCAAGTTCGTACAGTACAATGGGAACGGTATGCACCAGGGCTTCCCAAACTTTAATAGGCAGTTCCTAGATTAGGGGTGCAGGGGTTCACTCATTTGTTTTAATGTAGCATATGTGTGTATGTCTTTATGAATGTATGCCACATGGTATGTGTGTGTGTGTGTGTATGTCTGTGTGTGTGTGTGTCTACGTGTCAGAGGAGACCAGAAGAGGGTGTGGAATTCTCTGAAGCTGGTTACAGATAGTTGTTAGCTGCCTGATAGGGTAATGGGAATCAGACTCAGGTCCAGCACCTTTAGGGACATCACACTACAGTGTTTGGAAGAACTGAGTTAGCTCTAGGTTATTTTCATGGAACCCTAAGAAATGTGCTATCTGATCAACCGACCGGGCTATTGTTTTTGTTAAGAATTCCTTCCCTCAAGCTTTGCAACACCCACAGCAGCCTCTCCTCACTTATTCCAGGATGACATACAACTCTTCCCTGGAAGATCAGCAAGGACTCAACTCCTGAGCCATCTCTCCAGCCCCATCCAATACACATGGAAGCAGAGATATGGGGTATTATCTGCTTCTGTAATGGCATTTTTCTATCTAAAATTTCCCTTCAGGTTGGTTTCTCTCTAAAGCTAAGCTTCAAGTTCAGCTGCTCATCTTTCTGAAGGCTGCAGCAAACCTCAATCTCCTTCCTTCCTTTCCAAAGCATTGGTTGGGTGCCTTACTCACTAGGGGAAATGGTACTTTGCATAACTATGTGTATCGAGTTAAACTCTAACTTTCTAAGGAGCTGTAAAGAAAGATACATTCATGCATCATTTAAACCCTCTTTGTATTACAATGACAACAGCATATCATATGTATGTTTAAACTGATTCCTTCCTCAATGGTATGGCAGAAAGATAACCAAACCCAGCAAGTTTGGGCCAGGCATGGTGGTGCATGCACACTTCTTAGGGCTCTATGAAAATACCCCAGAGCTAACTCACTTTCTTCCAAACTCTGCCATGTGATGTCCCTTAAAATGCTCTAGGTCTATTTTCTTTATTCTTTTATTCACTAACTCAATTCAATTTCTAAATTTTTATTACATTTGTATCTATTGCTGGGGGTGAGGTGTGGACATCAGAGGACAAGTTGTGGGACAATCTGGTTCTCTCCTTCTACCATGTGGGGCCAGGGAATTGAATTCAGGTCTTCATCCTTGGTACCAGACACCGTACCTGGCTAAGCTAGCTCATTAGCCCTCAATTCAATGTTTTTTTGTAAGTAAATCAACATAGAAGTACAATCTGTTATCAATACCAGATATCCTTTGGCAGATGAAACTACCAAAGATACACACAACATTACAAACTCAAGTGTTACCTGGGATATTCTTGTCTAAGATGACCTCCAAAAAATATTGCAGGCAAGATCTAGGGAGGGGGTGTGAATGTGAAGGGCAGCTATTTTTGGTTTTGTGCTCAAAAGGTTGGAGTGGGTGCTTCTGTGTTCCACATTCCCTATCAGTATTGGCTAGCTCAGGTCAAGCAGCACAGCAGCTGGGCCTGCAACTGCTCCTTCATCTAGGCCTGCCTTCACTTGCTCTGACTTCTTATGCATGTTTAAGTCTATGATCAGATGCATCCTTTTCATTGAGGATGCAGGCAGCGAGAGCGACACAGATTTCTGTCAGTTTGATAGGTCTCCAACTATATCCTCCCTTCCCAACAGCTCGCCCCAACATCACATACCAGCTCCTGTATCAGAGCATGTTCAGATCTTAAAATCACAATGTTCATTAGTTATAGACGTCTATCCCACATCCTAGGTGTTATTTGCCCTGCCTTACAAGCTAAACTATAACACAGTCTTAAGCAAATATGGAAAAAAATATTAGTATCATTTAACCTGAATGTAAGGTCATGTGCGTTTGTGACTTGTGGACACATCAGACTAGATGCTTTCCAAACCATGCTCCACTGCTTGAGATATTCCAAACCCAAAGGAGTCCTCTATACTGCCTCTTGCATCTTGATAGCATCCTACGAGGAACTATTTAGAGGACTCACAACTTTATTTCTGTTGCGTATGAGGGCAGTCCAAGGCAATCATCATTTCTGAGAATATACTAAGGGAAGTGTGGCTCAGGGGTTCACTCAATCAAACTGGTATAAGGAATAGGTCAAAAGTGACAGTTCATCCTAACCCTCAGGAAGCCTGTGATGACTATCCTTAGTTGTCAACTTGATTGTCTACATCTGGAATGAACTAAAACCCATGTGGCTGGGTACATCAGTGAGGGTGTTTTTTTTAATAAATTTAATTAATTTAAGTGGAAAGCGCCTCTTTAAATCCATATCTTTTGAGGTGAGAAGATCCATCTCTAACCTGAGCCTCACCTTTGATTGGCGGCCTTTATAAAGGACATGAGAAAGGAAGCTTTTGCTTTTTGCCCACTTGCTCTTACTAGCAAGTTCATTTCTTCACTAGCATAAGAGCCCACTTCTTTGAGATTCTGTTGATGAGCTGAGACATTCAGCCTCGTGAGCTAAGTCACTATAGGATTCTTGGACCTTCTGTTGCTATAGAGCCATTGTTGGACTGGCTGAGCCACAGCCTTTAAAGCATTCTAATAATAATAATAATAATAATTATTATTATTATTATTATTATTATTATTATATAATTCCGTTCCTCTAGAGAACCCTGAGTAATACAAGTCTCAACCAAGCTTTAAGCCCAGGAGCAGCATAAAACTTATTCCAACTCACAGAGAACTCTGGTGACTAGTCATTGTGTTTAGAAAGCTCTTGCTAGATAAAAACCAGATCCTCTTCCTGGCTGAACTCCCTTAGACAGGAAAAAGTTCTCTTCATGGCTGAGCCCTTCTGTTGCAATGGGCTGGACTTACACTATGATACAGTAAGGTCTTCAATAATGCTTACGATGACCTTATCACTTGTTTACATCAGGGACTTCAGAAGAACCAGCTATCCTTTCAGCCACAGCACATCATAAAGTGGTCGTCCTGTGGAACTCAGGTAGAAGGAGGGACATAGTGACACATCCAGCCCACACATACAAGATAAATAATCATCTACTGCCAATAACACTTGAAAACCTGGCAAATAGTGACCATAAATCAGCCAATGGTTGCTGAGCAAAAAGATCACGGGCTTGGAACTCTTCCTTAACAAAGTACAGTGAACTAGGTTGACCATTAATAAGAGCATGGGAAGAGTGGGACTAAGGTCTAGGTCAGCAGTTAAGCTCTCATATAAAAAGCACAAGGCCCTGGATCTCCAGCTGGCTGTGAGGGAATAAAAGCCCAGGAAAGTTAGCAGGTCCTGACCCAGAATACTGGTCTTTTCAGTACCACACCCAAGATTTGATTCTAAGTTGGCAGCCACCTGGCTAAGCAAGTAAGAGGATCCTAACATAAGAAGTGGAGAGGTGGCCAGAAGGGATTGCCAGGATTCAAAACTTCTGGTTAGACAGAATATTGTCAAAGAAACCAATATACGTGAAGACCAGACACTCAAGTTACAGTTCTATTTCTCTATACTAATTCTTATTCTGCTAAGAGAAGGGTTTCCAAGTATCACCACTTGAACCACTGTTCTGCCTGGTGCTGAAGTCAATTAAAGATTTTAATGGGGAAAGAGAGTCAGTAGATTACGTTTTACCTTACTCTCTTCCCACTGCAGCATCACTGCAATGTTGAAGCAACATGTGGGCTCTGGTTAAAACCATGCCCAGCCAGTACTTTCCTTGGAATAATACCTTAACTACTTAGCTCAGCTGTCAGCGTGCCTCATCACAGACCGCTTCATCCCAGGAATGCAAGCCTCCTGAACAGGGAGCAAGCTTCATTTTCTGGCCCCAGTGGTAGGGATCAAAGCCAGAGTCTTGCACATAGTAGGGCTTTACCATTGATCAGCTTCCCAGGGACAATCTGAGCCACTCAGGCTGGCTTTGAATTTGCCTGGAAGAAGAACCATCCTTCTCCTGCCTCAGTTTCCATAGTGCTATGATTACAAGAGTCAACCTCTTGAAGCGCCCAAGGCCCCCTAAAATCAACAGTTTTAGGTTGAGGTGTGCAAATGGGTCCTGAGAATTCTATACAATACAATTCTATACACTATGTAGATGGTATCATTTCCCTAGACTGAAGCTGGCCTCAGAGCTTTATAACCCAGTAGAACTTTAACCAGAGAGAAATAATTCCCCGTGTCCCCCTTAATAAAAAGGAAGTCTCCTCAATCTCAGAGAGGGCTGAAGGAGGCCATCCTGACCCAATCTTTTGTGAGCAGGTTGTCCATGCTGTCTCTGTCTTAGACTTCAAGGTGTTAGAGCCAACCGGTTAGGGTGCCGACTCCTTTTGATTTTTGCAGCGGATCCCAGCTCTGGTGGTGAAGTGTCAGTGCCAGGCTCTGGGTGACAGCCTGGGAGAGCTCAGTGGCTGGCCCGCCACCGCGCGGCGCCCGACCCCTCCCGCCCTGCGCTCTCGCGCCACACCTGGGGCCGGTCTGGGCTGAGAGCGCCCCGGGGGCCGCGGGGAGCCGGGGACTCACCTGCAGCAGCACCGCCAGCAGGAAGCACAAGTACATCTGGTAGAGGCCCATCTCGCCCACCGCCTGGAACGCCTCCTCCACCTCCATGGCGGGCTCGCGACGGAGGATCCGGCCGCCACCGCGACGGAGGACCTGGCTGCGCGGTGGCCGAAGATCGGGCGACGGAGGGACCGAGGACTGGGCCCGGTGGGGACGGAGGGCCAAGCGGCGGGGACGGGGAGGGAAGACTGGGCGGATCGCGGCCGAGGCGGGGACAGAGGACTGGGCTGAGCCGGGGCTGGAGGACCGGGCGGGGCTGGGGCCCAGGCGCAGGCGGGACCCTGCAGTGGACCAGGTCCCGGGCGCGGCGGAGATGCGCGACTGGTCGCCCCGGCGCGGCCTCCCCGCTTCCTGTCAGAAGTGACAGGAATTTTTGGCGAGCGGTTGGCTGGCGCGCGGAAGGGAAAGAGGAAGTGGGTGCGGCGCGGGCGGCCACGGCGACTCACGGGAGGGGCGGGCAGCTCCACGCCGCGTCCCGCGGGGTTCGCCACTTCGCACAAAGCGGTGGAATGCGGGGGCGCTCAGAGTTCTAGAGCTTTCCGAGGAGAGGGCCGGGAGGCATCTGTCCCCTTCCTCCTTTGTCCTGCTTTAGGTACAGGGTCAGATGTAGGCTCCGCGTCTCGAGACACCCACTTAGAGAAGTGCCCACAAGGCCCACTTACAAGGAACAAGGGCAGGGGGTTATGGTTGCCAAGGTCTGTCAGTGGAGTTTGGCAGAGGCCTGGAGAGGTGTGGGGACAGATTACTAGTGTTAGCCCCCTTATGTCCCCACTCCTAATCCTGTTTCGTTTTTTAAACCACTGCAAGTATCTAAACCAGCATTTCTCAATCTGTGGGGTCAAGACCAAAGATCCTTTCACAGGGGTCGTATATCAGATATTTAGATTCACAACAGTAGCAAAATTACAGTTATGAAGTAGCAAAAATAATTTTATGGTTATGGGGTCACCACCACATGAGGAACTGTGTTAAAGGGTCACAGCATTAGGAAGGTTGAGAACCACTGCTCAGCTTACCTTTGTCTTCCTGGTGGTGTAAGAATAGCATGGCAGAAGAAACTTAGGGAAGATAGAGTTTATTTGGCTCACAATTCCTCTCAGAGTCCATTATTGCTGGGAAGTCAAGGCACCAGGAACTTAAGCAGCTAGTGACATGACATCCAGAGTCAAGAACAGGACAGTGAGCGGATGGATATGCTCGCCAGTGATCAGCTAGTTCCCCCCTCATTCATCCAGACTAGGGCCCAACCCATGAAACGGCCTTCCTAACTCAACCAAATTAAAAAAAAAATCTCTCAGAAGCATGTCCGGGACCAGCCTAATCTAGACTGCTCCTCACTCAACTGAATGAGTGGGAACTCTCTTCCCAGCTGAGGCTAGGTTTTGATAATTAAAAAGAACCATCCCCTGAATATAATACAGAGTATAATGGATGACCGGAGGTCCCCTTGTCTTGCAAGCATCCTTGTTGTGCTCCCACAATCTCCCATTATGTCTGGTGTTTATAACTGCCCTTTAGTGGCCATCTGCCTAATTATTGTAACAAAAGGATACGATGTTGAATATGGGAGGGTTGGGAGCGGCCAGTGTAGTAGCCACATAAGATGAATTGGAAGTGCTTAAGCCAGTGGTGGTGGCAGCAACCCCAGAGGCAGCACAGACTTTTGATCCCAGCACTGGGGAAACAGAAGCTAGGTTCCTCTACGGAGTGAGATCCAGGGCAGCCAGGACTACAAAGACAAAGCAGCAAAACTTCCCTTTAACCATATGGATCTAGTTTTCTTGGCAGACCTTGCTCTCTCTCTGAGAAGAGGGAGAGGGAGGGAGTTGGAGAGGGGTCACATGGCTTTGTTTTTTCTTAAAGAACTTTTACGATTAAAAAAAAAATGTTTCAATTTTTATTTACGACTGTTCTGGGAATAAACTTGCTCATTTTGCCCTCTTAAATCATGAGCTGACTGTATTTGCACCCCACCTTTCATTATTTTTATTATGACATACTTTATTTAGAGTGTGTTACATTGTTATTTATTAATTCGTTATTTGTTTAGCATTTTCCCCACACTTTTTTCTATATAGGAAATGTTTGAATATAAAATTGTAGTTCTCAGACTTTGAATTTTTCCTATATTTTATTTAGCTTTGTTACTTTGTAAAATTCTTTTACTAGCTAGCTAGCTTCAGTGTTTAGCTTGTTTGCTTTCAAGTCTCTCCCTACCCATCTTTGACTTATTTGAGATAAGTATTGCTGTACCCCAAGTTGGCTTCAAATTTGTTATATACCCAAGGCTATTATCCTAAAACTCCTGATCTTCCTGCCTTTGTCTTCTGGAAGGCTGAGAGAGCAGGCCGGCCTACTATATGCTGCTACAGTTCTCCTTTGTAAGGAGTGATTAGATGAAAGGGTAGACAATTCTCTTTACTCTTTTGCCCTTATTTACAAGTTCTCCTAAGCAATATTTTGATTTAAAATATGTCATGACATTGCAATTTGCTCTTTAAGCAATGCTATATTTTTGAGCATTCTTTTAAACTTTCCAGTTAAAAGTTGTGCCTTTTAAACATTTTTTTAATTTATCATTTCTTTGAATATTTTGTGGACAAAGACAATATTAAATCCTGGAACTGTCTGACTTTTTCTGGGACCTAACATCATTGTGTTACAGTGTATTCATTGTAAAAAAAACCAAAAAAACAAAAAACACTGCACCATATGTGTTAAAAATAACACATGGTTTTCATTTGTTGGGTTCAGGATGTTCTGTAAGTTAGTACATCATACTTGTGATCTTACTAAAATCATTGGCATTCATACTAAAGGCTTATATCAATTTTTAATAAATATATCAACATCTTCCAGAATTATTTTCATTTTAGATTCTCTTTTTAAATTTATAAGTTCACAAGAGGACAATCTAAGTCACTTGTTTGCAATTATTAACACTTCCCTTGAAGTCTCATCTTCATATTCTTATGTCATCTTATTTTTATCCTTTGTTTACTGTTTCTTCTTTTGGATGTTTATGAAAGGAGGACTTCCTTTTTTCATTCATCTTGATATTCTCTTGTTGAGGTGTGGTCTGTTGCTATGTATTGCAATGCTAAACACTGGCCCTGGCTCCCTCCGGGAAAGGCATCCTCAGCACACCATTGATGCTGTGTAACCTTGCTCCCCAAGTGATTCCTGATTGGTTAATTAAAAAGCCTATGGCTTAGGCAAGAAATAGGAGGTGGGACATCCAGAAGGAGAAAGAATTCTGGGATAGAGCCAGGTGGAAAAGCCCCCTGGGAAGATATGAGGAGAGAGACACACGGTACCTGAGCATAGGTAACTAGCCATGTAATAAATGTAGATTAAAATAAATGTGTTAAGTTATAATTAGTCAGAGAAGGGCCTAGCTATATGGCCAAGGTTTTTTAATTGACAGATGATGCATCTATACAATACACAAGATATTCTCTCTACCGTCTCTGTCTTTCCATTCAACCTGATAGTCTGTTGTTTGTTCTTTGCTTAGTCTGCTTGGTTTTGTTTTGTTTTATTGAGTTGTTTTTGAGACTGAGTCTTCCTATTTGGCCCTTGGTGGCTTGAAACTTGATATGTAGACTAGGCTATCCTTGAAATCACAGGAGTCCACCTGCCTCTGCCTCTGCCCCTCTACCCCTCTGCCCCTCTGTTTCTCTGTCCCTCTGCCCCTCTGCCCTTCTTCCTCTCTGCCCCTCTCCCCTTCTGTCCCTCTACTCCTCTGCCCCTCTGCCCTCTGTCTCCTGAGTGCTTGGATTAAAGACATATACTACTACACTAGGCATTTTAGTAGGAGAATAAATCTCTCTGTATTTGTGATGAATTATATAGTCAAAATGATTTCTGTCATGATGTTCTGTGCTTCTGTTAGCTTTCTTGGTCATCTGTTGGATTATTACATTTATTTTTAAAGACAAGGTCTCACTATGTACCCCTGGCTGTCCTGGAACTCAGTTTGTAGACAAGGATGGACATCAATTCAGAGATATACCTTCCACTGTTTCCCAAGTGCTGGGATTTAATCTATTTTTTAAAATCCATCTTCCCTTTGCCACTCTGGGAGCTATGGATCACGCCATTATTAGTGTTTTGTAAGTTACACCTACATTTTTAAATACCTACTCACCCTTGCTTTTCCACAATGTTTTTATCTATACATTCTACATAGATATGTCTGTATCCTCTTTACAAAGTGGTTAAGACCATATACAAGGTTTTAGGAATACTGCGTCTGAGAGAACTCAGGGGGTGCACAACGATGTCACATTCTAGAAATGTTTAGAAATTATTGTCAGCTTGACAAGTTTTAAATGACCTAGGAGACAACCTTCTGGATACGTCTGTGGAGTGTTTCTAGGAAGGCTTAATAGAGGTGAGTCCTCACGTTTAGAGAATGTGTGCTGCCATCTGAGGATAAGTAAAGAGCAGAGAGCAGTCACGCAGCTGCCTTCCTCTCAGCTTCCTGAGTCCCTAAACGGCGACTCAAAGTTCACGTGAAGAGTTTTGATTAGAAAAATTCAGAACATTTTTTATTGCTAAGAATAATTATTTTTAATATAGAAGTAAGAAGGCAAAAAATAGGTATGTTTTTCATGGTACTGATAATGTATTATTTACTAGCCCAAGCTCTTTTAATAGCAAACTGGGAGGCTATGGGTCAGCTTACAGATGTTATGTGTGTGTAGAAAGAGGCAAATGGTTATTCTTAACAAGAAAGATAACTGTGATTGTGCTGCTCTTTGGGGCATGAATTCACTCAGTGCCTAGTCTAGCGGTTCCACCCTGGTCCTCACGTCCTGTATGCAGCCATTTATTCAAAGGCTGTGGAGTCATCTTCAGTTCCCTCATCTGAGCTTTAGCTGCACAAAACTTTAACAAGGCTTCATCCCATTTTGGACCAAAGAGACATGTGTTTCCTTTTTTTTTTTTTTTCTCTGTGTAGTAGTTGTGTCTGTCCTGGTCTACTCACTACTCACTTTGTAGACCAGGCTGGCCTCAAATTCAGTTTCTCCTGCCTCTGTCTTCCAGATGCTGGGATTAAAGG